ACAGTAGCACAAAACAAAGTGGAGTCTGATTGATGCACTTAGTGAGAGAGAGAGAGAGAGCAGTGCATTCGATTATTGTGTTCCTTTTACTGTACATAGGATTGGCTTCGGCACCAACGAATGAAACGCAATTCAATTTCCAAATGGTTGGGCGACACATACATGTGTGCCGGTGGACGCATACATATACATATACATATATTCTTCTGATCCACATATTCTGCTTTCTGCCCCTTGCCATTCTCTTCATATCTCCCTCTTCCGGCTTTTTTACCAATATACGATAAACAGTAAAATTATATATCAAAATACTACACTTTTGAAACTATTTGCTAATATACTGCATTTAAAATCATTATTGAGAAGAACGATTTTAAAATTACACACAAGTCGTTCTTGGCATGAATGATTTCAAAAATCATTCACGCCAGGAACGATTTTACTTTTTCCTATTCACTCTTTCACATACGAATCTCTGCCAATTTTACATGTAAAAATAAGAATCCTTGACAATGCTCCCATGAGGCTGCAACGTCTATGTTGGATGAAAATTTCAAAATCCCAATTTTTTTAATTTTTTAAATAGAGCTTGATGAAATTTTTTGTCATTTTCTCTTCTTTTTATTTTTCTCATACCAAACAATACGTAACAAAAAAAATTATGCTTTGATTGTAAATTTTAAATTGTAGCAATTAAGTTGCATGACTAAATTATTATTATTATTATTATTTTGGTCACAGGCATAGAACGATTTTAAGTACAGATAAATGCCACACAAGCTTTCATGCACATCAAGGATAGATTATGAAGAAATCATTCAGCAGATAAATGACTTTAAAAATTATTCACCTAAAGAACGATTTTAAGTGTAGCATGTTAGTAAATACTTTTAAAAGTGCAGCATATTAGTATATAATTTTACTCTTTGTAGTATTTTGGTAAAAAAAGCCAGTCGTGTGGCATTTGTTCGGTTTGACGAGAAATCAAGTATTGGGCATGCACTTTTTATGCCTGTGACCAAAATAATAATAATAATAATAATTTAGTCATGCAACTTAATTGCTACAATTAAAAATTTACAATCAAAGCACAATTTTTTTTGTTATGTATTATTTGGTATGAGAAAAATAAAAAGAAGAGGAAATGACAGAAAATTTCATCAAACTCTATTTAAAAAATTTTAAAAATTGGGATTTTGAAATTTTTATCCAATATAGACGTTGTAGCCTTATGGGAGCATTGTCAAGGATTCTTATTTTTGCATCTAAAATTGGCAGAGATTCGTATGTGAGAGAGTAAACAGGAAAAAGTAAAATCGTTCTTGGCGTGAACGATTTCAAAAATCATTCACGTCAAGAACGACTTGTGTGTAATTTTAAAATCGTTCTCACTAAGAATAATTTTAAATGTAATATATTAATAAATAGTTTTAAAAGTGTAGTATTTTGATATATAGTTTGATTGTTTAGTATATTGGTAAAAAAGCCCCCTCTCGCACTCGATTTCTTCCTATCTTTACAGATTCTCTTTCCTAGTGAAGTCCAGTCTGATTTTGTGCAAATGGGTGTGTGCCGTGCGTGATGGTCAATTCTTTCTCAAAAGCCGGGTCTTCGAAAGTCTCCGCCAACCACACGTGAAAGTGAAAGCTACACCTACGTGTTTAGTAATTCTTCGCTTCCCAAGCACGGAAATGAAGAAATTATTAATCAACAGCACCTACCTCTTTGGCACTTGGCATCTCCTTTTTGCATTTGGATATTATTTTTGGGTATCGCACGTGTCATTCAAATACCGATCGACTCACAAAACAAGCACAAAGAAGGGTTGATATCCTCTCATGATCTTTTTTTTTTCCCTTTTTAGTATCTCATCTTTACTGTTTAATTAAATAATAAATAGTTCAGATTTTATATTTATAAAACTATTATTATAACATTATATAAATAGAACAGAAAAATTAGATATTTGTTTTTTAAAATATTAAATCTGAATTATTTATTATTTGATTTATCAGTTGAGATGAGATAAAAAAAAAAAAGAAGTATCTGAAACAACCCAAATCCCACGCGGAAAGGGGGAAGGGGAGAAAGAGAGAAAAGAGTAAACTGAAATTGAGCAAAATTAGTGGTATCGTGATATATAGGGTCAGCTGTTTGATTTCAAAATGATATCTTGACGCTTTCCCGTTTGGGATTCATTAAGCCAAGCACAGAATAGGGCGGAGTGTGGCTGGCTTTTTGGTCCTCGTGTGTAGTAATTCCCCGATGCGCCTCAGGATATTCATTCCGTGATCCCATTTAACTTTCCGAAGCCAGACCCAACCCTGACTGTATTTTCCGCGCAAGTCATCCCCTCCTCAAAAGAAGACTGATTGATTCATGGATAGAAATCCAAAAAGAACGAAACTGATGTTCCTTCGCTTTGTGTAGTTTTGACGGTGCCGGAAAAGAAAAGTATCTCTGAAAGGCTTTTTACCAAAATATAATAAACAGTAAAACTACATGTCAATATGCTGCACTTTTAAAAGTATTTACTAATATACTGTATTTAAAATCGTTCTTGACAAGAACGATTTTCAAATTACACACAAGTCGTTCTTGGTGTGAACGATTTCAGTTTTTAATTTTTTTTTAAAATCGAAAAGTGAAATCGTTCTTGACATGAATGATTTCACTTTTTCTCCCCTGTTCAGGAGAATCTCTGCCAATTTTACATGCAAAAATAAGAATCTCTGACAATGCTCTCATGAGGCTACAATGTCTATGGCTTTATATATATTACATGTGAATTACTTCATTTGAGACTTATATTGGATTAAAATTTGAATACTCCAATTTTTTAATTTTTTAAATAGAGCTTGATGAAATTTCCTATCATTTTCTCTTCTTTTTATTTTTCTCATACCAACACTACGTAACAAAAAAAGTTATGCTTTGATTGTAAATTTTTAATTGTAGCGATTAAGCTGTAGGATTAAATTATTCTTATTATTATTATTTTGGTCACATGCATAAAAAGCCCATGCCCCACAACAAGCTTTTTTACCAAAATACTACAAACAGTAAAATTATATACCAATATACTGTACTTTTAAAATTATTTACTAATATGATACACTTAAAATCGTTTTTCAGGTGAATAGTTTTTAAAGTCACTTATCTGGTAAACGACTTCTTTATAATCTGTCCTTGATGTGTGTGAGGTGAATGAAAATCATTCTTCTGGTGAACGACTTTAAACTTAATATATACCATATATTTGATATTTAGGGTGTGTATATAATTATTTTTCAATTTTATCTTACCAAATTTAAACTTCTCGTGTAGTATACTTTCATAAGAAAAAATAATAATCATGTACTAAAAAAAAATGAAGCTTATATCAAAATCTTAACATCTTAAAATAATATAACAGATGGTAGTTTTACTGTTAAAATAAGAGGCACTAGCTTAGAAAGAGTACAAATATTCTAGATTGTTAAACCCACCACTCACCTCCTAAAATTTAGAATAATGAAATATTAACTCATTAAGGATAGTATGGATGAAAAATTAAATTGTATACCACAACTGTAAATTTTTTAAAAGAAAAAAATAGAAGAGAAACAACATATTCATAGCAGTAGCAAAAAAGCTTGTCTTGTTTGGAAGCAAGAGGAAAAAAATAACAATGCAAGAGAATAAAGAAAATGAAACAAGTGAAAAGAAGAAGAAGAGAGAACTTGGATTTGAAGAAGAAGAAGAAGAAGAGAGCAAGACATGAAGTAATTCATATGTAATATATATAAGCCACAGATGCTGTAGCATCATAGGAGCAATGGGATTCTTACATGCATTGTCAGAGATTCTTATTCTTGCATACATAATTGGTCTTCACGCATTGGGCAAAGATTCTCTCGCATGGTAATGAATAGGAAAAAGTAAAATCGTTTACGTCAAGAACGACTTATGTGTCATTTGAAAATCGTTCTTGTCAAGAATGATTTTAAGTGCACCATATTGATAAATACTTTTAAAAATACAGTATATTAGTATATGGTTTTACTGATTATCGTATTTGGTAAAAAGCCACCTCTGAAAAGCTTGAGTTCGAGCACTACCGGCCCCCAGAGTTCAAACCTCCTGCTTCATTATTTGATGCCGAATCAAAATTTTTGGCAAGGACATGTCATAAGTTGACACCTCTAACCCACTTTTCTTTCCATATAAAATGGGGGGAAAACAACAGGAAACAACTAATATTGAGTACGAATTTATGCATAGGCTTTAGCTTTGCCTAATCAAACGAGTCGGTCGAGTCCCCGTGCAGGAGGCCATGGACAAACCAAAACAATACTTTTGTGACTCGAATAGCATAGCGCCATCAAATGGCCCACGAAGAGCAGCTTTCGGCGTCCCAAATATTAAAGGCTCGAGGAAAGCTGGCTTGCATTCACTTTAATATGGGCTGTGGTTTCCTACTCAAACGTGACCTAATTAACTCGATTGTTTGGATTCCATCGTCGTCGTGTCGAATCCACACAAATTCCACATTAAAAAGGAAAGCAAAGGAAACTCGGGAATTATTTAACGTTATTCTGTCTTTTTGCTGCCAACATGAACGGTGCTTGCTTAAGGATGTGTAGATTACGCTATCAAGAGTTTTAAATTTTTTTAAGAAAAGGAAACAAAACAGAGATGATCCTCTTTGTCTTGGGCAATCAAATTTCGTTTCGTCTCCCTATGTTTTTCATTTTCTCTTGACTTCACAGAATATTTAAGTGTTAATGATGGCTAATGGGTAGGGCCCAGCCTTTTCTTCTAAACGTCTCTATTAAGCGTACCATTTCAGTTTCTTTGGAGGCTACAGAGGAAGAATCACTTGGTTTCGCTTTCATTTTGACAATGACTTAGAACACACAAATCCTTGCCCGAAACAAGAACCAAGAATTTACCATCCAGCCTAATAAATCAGCACAACATGCTCATGCAGAAAGAGGAAAAGAAATACAACTTTGAAGGCATCTGAACTTTTATAGAATTTTACTTATCCTCTGACAAGATATATAAGACGCTAGTCCCCTTTGATACAGGGAAAATCCAGTTTGATTTACAGCAGAATCCGAAAAATAGCCTCCAAAAGTCACAATTGTCCTTTTTCCCTAGGCCATCAATCATCATGCCTTCAATGAGTTCGATCGGCTGTTAAAACATACAATGGTCCCGTCCCTCCATTAAAAATAAGTCCAGGAAAGGAATCTAAGAAGCCCAAAAGGAGATGCACACTCCTTAGAAAAAAAAAAAAAGGGTCCAAATCATGCTACTGCTCAACCTTATTTGGCCCTTCTCGATCTAAAATACAAGCTTATAGTTAAACTGCTTGCTCAACTACTACATCACTCTCGTTTTGCTCGTCATCCGCTGGTTTGTCGTCATCATCACCTGGCTGCTTTTCTTTATCACGAGACAGAAGCTCTGTTTCCCTCTTTCTGGCCTCAAGCTCTTCATTCTGGATCTTTTTCTGTGCAAGAAAGTGCAGAAGGTCTTGAAGAGTAGAGTGATAATCACTACTGTTCATCTTCAAAAGCTGCTCAGCCACTTCGGCAGGAGTGACGTGGGTGACAAGGATTGCTTCTTCAATTTGTGGGAAGAGAGGGTGTTGTTTAAGTTTAAGGTAATTAGAAGCAAGCTGCCTAAACACAGAAGGAGTGCAATATGACATGTGGATGTGAACATCCATACGACCGGGACGCAGCAATGCCGGGTCAAGCTTCTCTTTGTGGTTGGTTGTAAAAACTATAATCCTTTCGTCCCCACAGGTTGACCACAAACCATCAATGAAGTTCAATAGCCCCGACAATGTCACCTGCTATGTTTAAAATACACACACATATATATGAATATGTCAATATAGTGAACAAGAGTGTTATTACAGCATCATTAGTTTAATACAATGAACCTTAGCATAGGGAGTTGGGTTAAATTATTTTTAAAAAGTAAAAATAGAGACTCTTGTTGAACTCAATGACAGATCTCAAAGTGCAAGTCCTGATTTTCTACATATCGGTGCTTTTAACTTTTAAGCCAATGAAAGCTTAATTATCTTCCTTTCCCTTACACTCTACTTCCCTTTCCATCTCAACTATAAAAATTTGAATGCTTAAAATTTAATACTCCTCCGGTCCTTATTATAAGACCCCATTTGACTTTTTATTTGGTCCTAATTATAAGACCCAATCCATTTTGTCTCTTATATTTATGCATTTTTTCCAACATAATCCTTATAATAATGATAGTTTTAGCCAATATACTTAATTAGCAAGGATATTTTAGGAATGACAACACTTATTTATTATAAATAACCAACTTAACTTACTTCCTTAATCTCCTCAAATAAGTCAATTGGGTCTTATAATTAGGACCGGAGGAGTATTTTATAGTTATTAATAAAGTGTTAAACTATTAAAATAAATAAATAAGTTCAAACCGTTAAAATTTGGATCGCTTACATTTTAGTCCAACGATGTTAAAAGAAGGAATTGGAAGAAAAGTTGACAGAATCCATGGGAATGAAACTACAGAAGTTGGCTGACGTATATAAACCAAATTGTAAATAAAATGATAGTAAATTACTCCTCCGGTCCTTATTATAAGACCCAATTTGACTTTTTATTTGGTCCTAATTATAAGACCCAATCCATTTTTTCTTTTATATTTATGCATTTTTTTTCAAGATAATCCTTCTAATAATGATAGTTTTAGCCAATACACTTAATTAGCAAGGATATTTTAGGAATAACAACACTTATTTATTATAAATAACCAACTTAACTTACTTCCTTAATCTCCTCAAATAAGTCAATTGGGTCTTATAATTAGGACCGGAGGAGTATTAAATAACCTGCGGTTGTGAGGATCCACATCCGGAAGCGGTCATTGATTTTGCCATGCGATCCTGAAATTCAACGGTGCAGTCAATGTCTTCTACAACGAGAATAGACCTATTCGCCATAGCAACCAGTAACCGTCGGAGCTCCGAGTTGCATCGTAGTTCTGTCAGCTCCAAATCGTATATGTCAAAATGTAAGTAATTCGCCATTGCCGCAATGAAGCTCGATTTTCCCGTTCCAGGTGGGCCATACAGTAAATACCCTCTCTTCCATGCCTTACCCACCTTCTTGTAATACTCTTTTCTCCTCACAAACCTCTCCAGATCCTCCATCACGAATCTCTTGATGTCCGGGTCTAATGCCAGCGTCTCAAATGTCGCCGGATGGTCTAGATTCGTTGGTATCCACGCGTCGTTCAGATTTCCATACATGCCCTCATAGTCCACTGTAAAGATCCTCAAGACCTTCGCTGCTTGCTTCATTAATTTCGCTTCCTGCATAATGAAGGGAAGGTACGACGTTAACACCAACTCTTGGTGCTTCTTGTGGAAACTCAGCTCCAATGATCGAATTTCCGACCGCAGCGTGGAATTCAGGTCTCTAGGATTGTGAAAACTCCTGGATTCAGCCTCTTTGCATATAAAGACCCATTTGAATTTGATGCCGTCGAACACGTCTTCGATGACCTCGTCACGTTCCATGGTGATTGCAAAGCCTCTGTCCACATCGGGCTTACTAACTTTGAGTCTGCGAGTGGAAGGAGAAATCTTTTTGCCCAAATAAATGTGTGCCGCATCGTAGATTTGGTTGCCAACGAGACCGTCAAACTCATCGATTACTATGGTGAGTTGGTTAGAGAAGCGATGGAAGATTCCACGGATGCTGCCGAAGAAATAGTCCTGAATCTCCCAAGGCAAGAGGTCTCGAGCCACCGATCGGACAAGCATTGCTGTGGCGACGATGGAAGCGGCCGTTGAAACGAACGTCTTGGCGGTGGCAAGGCTGGTCTCAGCGGAGGAGGAAAAGAAGAACGCCATTTCTGGGCTAATGAAGCGAGCCGAGGGGAAGATCCTTGAATGGAGTTGGATACGCGGGAGGGGTTGTGCTTGTTAAGTAAGAATGAGAAGAGGACGATATTCAAACGAAAGGACCGAGGAGAAGAAGAACATGGGAGTCAACGACCTTTGGGGGTTGAAACTTGGCCAGGTATGCTGTCTTCGGAAATGGGAATGGAATTTTGAATTGATGGCCACGCAGTCACAAAATTACCCTCCCTGTCTTCGTGACGCTTGAGAAATATTCCCTGTTAGAACTGAGGATGGTATGAGTGTGTTTGGAATCACATCTGAACCTTCAAACTGACTTTTCTACCAGTAAAAGGAGCTTTTTTGATTTGGGATATGTTTGGAATCATATTTTTACAATCTGACTTCTGTCACTGAAACGGATTTATACAATAAGCTCACAGAAGCTACTTTTATCTAATCTAACTTCTGTAAAAGTCAGATTGAAAAAAAAGTTGCTTTTCCAACGCTAATCCAAACACACCCATCATCTTTTACCTTTCCTTTGGCGTATAGGCTGGTGCATATATGCAGGAGACTCCTGGTTGTTTATAACTATAGAACCTCTATTTTTTTGCCTGATATAGAAGCTCAATATTTAAGCATATAGTGTAATATAAAAATTCTTACATAATTATTCGTGAGTCAAATATTGGGGGCGCTTTCTTTCATGACTTCATTGACTTGCCACCCGAATGGCCCACAAATGCTTGCCGTCCAAGAAAAACCCAAGTTTAAGTATTTTTCATATAATTTTATTTTCTTGGTTGCTATTTTTTTTCCTGCCATCTTTTGGTCGCTAATTTATATTTATGAATGCACACGCATGACTTGTTAATATACAATATCAACTATATTTTTAATTCCTTCATCGTTTTTAAAGTCATAATTTTCTTTCTATCTTGTAACTAAGGGCTAATTACTTATTTGGATTTTTTAATTTGTTTTCTCAAAAATATTTTTTATTACTCGGGTAAAACATATTTATATTATGCATATATAATATAAAATATTTAAATTGTAATGGCGGTAATCCCTAGAAAAACTGCCAGCTATATTGTTTGATTCTGCTATTGGAAAAATCTGATTCCTGGTCAAAAAAAAGAAAAAGAAAAAGCTGATTGATTTTTTTTTTTCCGTTACATTCATTCAAGTAAAACACAAATAACAAAATTAACTATTTCGAGATTGAATTCTCTGCTTTTTGGTCCCAAAAAAAAGATTGAATTCTCCGCGCACTTGCGCGACAAACATTTGCTGTTCTTGATTTTAGTGAGACTTAATTTTGTAAAATATCATAATTTTATTTTTTTTATTCATTATATTGTCTAATGCATATTTTTTAAAATAGTTTTCTTATATATATATTTTCAACTATTGATACCAAATTTTTGTTATTGATTTTTGCATAAAATTTTTTTTCACCATCAAAACTAAAAACTCATTGCTTATTTAAATTTTTTAAAAATTATTTTCTCAAAAAAAATTTTGGTCAGATAAAAATTATATATTTTTGCTTTTTGTAACAAGAAGAATAAGAGATGTTCCCTCGATTTTAAATATAAAACTCATTTTATAATATAAAAATAAATTTTATATTTAGAACAGATGGGCTACTATTTTTTATCTACTAACTAATAATAGAATGCAAATAAAGGTCCACACACGTGCTAGTGATTGATCTTATTGGGCCTAAGTATGCCCACAATCTAAATTCAAGATGATCCATGGATAAACGGTTTGCTGAACTACAGTGCATCACTTTCTTTCTTCTCGCCATCCACTGGCCTGTCGTCATCATCACCCGCCTGCTTTTCTTTATCACGAGATTCTTTCTTTTTGGCCTCAAGCTCTTCATTTTCGATCTTTTTCTGTGCAAGAAAGTGCAAAAGCTCTTGAAGAGTAGAGTGATGATCAGTACTCTTCGTCTTTAAGAACTGCTTAGCCACTTCAACGAGAGTGATGTGGGTGGTAAGGATGGCTTCTTCAATTTGTGGGAGAGAGAGTGATATTCAAGTTGAAGGTAATTAAAAACAAACTGTCTAAACACGGAGGGAGAGCAATATGACATGGGGATGTGAACGTCCATGCGACCTGGACGCAGCAATGCAGGGTCAAGTTTCTCCTTATGGTTGGTCGTGAACACTATAATCCTCCCATCTCTACAACTTGACCAGAGACCGTCAATGAAGTTCAGTAGCCCCGACAGTGTTACCTGTTAAGTCAATCACCCATATGATGAATATGTCAATGCAGTATACAAGTATGTCACTACAGTATAATTAGTTAATTACAAGGAATATTGGCATGGGGAGTTCAGATTATTAAAAAAGAAGTAAAAATAGATTCTCTCCCTGAATCTAAATTTCCTACAGGCCTTTAGAAGGAATCATAGATCAATGAATTTGCATAGAAGTGGACCTGGTCATAAACCAAACTGCAGATTAAAGAGAACGGAGTATTAATGAATAACCTGTGGTTGTGGGGATTCAGATCCCGAAGTAGCCGTTGATTTCGCTATGCGATCCTGGAATTCGATGGTGCAGCCAATGTCTTCCACAACAAGAATGGACCTATTCGCCATTGCAATTAGTAAGTGTCAAAGCTCTGAGTTGCATCGTAGTTCCGTCAGCTCTAAATCATATATGTCAAAATGTAAGTAATTCGCCATTGCAACAATCAAGCTCGACTTCCCTGTTCCAGGTGGGCCATAGAGCAAATACCCTCTCTTCCATGCCTTCCCTACCTTCCTGTAATACTCTTTCCTACTCACAAACCTCTCCAGATCCTCCATCACAAATTTCTTCTCGTCCGGGTCCAATGCTAGTGTCTCAAATGTAGACGGATAAGTTTATATTTATTCAATGATTGTTTTGAGAATTTTAAATTAAAATTTTAATTTAAAAAAATTTGTTATTCAAAGACATATAGAATGTTTTTACTGATTAAATTTAAGTTAAATAGTTTATTTGGGTTATTTAATATATTATTGAGGTCTTAATTGGTTTGAATATTGAATAAGTTAAATATCTATTGTTGAAATAATTTTTGAAGGCTTGAAAAATTATAAATTCAGAATTTTAATATAAAATATTTATATTTTGGCTAATAAAAATATATTTGTTTAAGTTATTAAATTTAAGTAGTCTTATACGAAAATTTTATTTTCAAAATAATATTGTATCTATTATAAATAGCTAGATCTGGGAGAGTTAATATATTTTTGTAATTTTAGTTTAGAGGGTAGCATTAAAATTTTAGAATAATTTTAAAATAGTTTTGTTATATGTTAATAAATATTTATGTGCAATTTTGTAGACTAATAAGAATTTTAGAGTAATCATTGTGTGAATATTTGTAAATTAAAGAGTAATAAACTAAGTATTCTTTCATGTTTATATGAATTGTGTATGATTATATTGTAGATTTATTAATTTTTATTATAACATATTGAAATATATGTACGTATTATGACTTTTCAAATAAATGTTTTAATGTTATTTTAATTTGTTAAAAATTATCGCTATTAATTATATTTCAGGGCCAACGAACGGAGCAAGGAAGAAGAAAATACTGGAATGGAGTTGGAGGGGAGAGCCGTGTTGCTTCTTAAATAAGCATGATAATGAACTTCAAGGAAAAGGAACAAAGAGAAAAATACTGAAAGCAATGGCCATGTGGTAATCGGAAGTTGACGGAGTGTTCGCGTCATTTGAAAACAGCAAGGACGAAGGCTCTGTGACTGTAACTACTCCAATGAACCAGCCCAGGCATTTCCTTAGCCACCGACCTCATTGACCTGACCACGCCAGACGCAATTTAATTGATATTAATTAAATTCCTTGTTATTAGTGTCCTCATAAGGTAGCTGATAAGTTAAAGGAAACTACTATCGAGCTGCCATAAGACCAATCATGTTATATAATAGTGAATGTTGAGTTCTAAAAGAAAAATAACAACATAAACTCATGGTAGTAGAAATAAGGATGTTGAGATTGATGTATAGTTATATAAGAAAAGATATTATTTGAAATGATAATATTAAAGGAAGAGTAAGCATAGCGCTTATGAAAGGAAAAATAATTAAATATCGTTTGAGATGATATGTACAGAGAAAATCATTGAAGGTGTCAGTAAAGAGTATTGATTAAACAACTTGGAGTCACTTCAAAAGACGAAGAAAAAACCAGAAAAAACTCTCAAGGAGACCATTGAACAAATTTTTTTTTGCTAATACTCCTTCGGTCCTTAATATAAGATCCATTTAACTAATTTGATTAGATTAAGGAAGTTAGGTAAGTTAGTTAATTATGAGAAATATGATGCGTTTTTCCTAAAACACCATAATCATCTTTCTTAATACCCCATCTCCCTCTTCTACTTGATTATAGTCAAGGGAGTATCTATATGGGTAATTTAGAGAAAATTGATAAATATGAAAAATGGGTCTTACATTTAGGACCAAAACCAACTCAATAATTAGATCCTATATTAAGAACCGGAGGAGTAACTTATTTAAAGATTTGGTTATTGATAAAGTACAATGACATCAGTTGACAAAGCATAATAACATCATGCAATCCACGTGACTAATTTTATTTAGTTGAATATGACTTGTTTTGTTTGTTACTATTATCCTTCGCATTAAGTCATTTTTCGTTAACTTATGTTCCTACTCCCCTTTGCTTCCCTAATGAACTTATTCAGTAGTACTGGCGTGTTTCCGTTGTGTGAGATTATTCAATCAGATAAAGTTTGTAAGTTTGCTTTTTAAATTCAGAGAAGCATCTATTCATGTTCCATCATCAAAGTTCTCTAATAATTGTTAAATAATGTGTGCTTCAATTCCTTCACGTTTTTTAATTTCATTATCTTTTGTTTTTCTCTCATTCTTCTTCTTCTCTTCTTTTTTGTTTGGGTGCTCAAACGTTATTGCTTTTTTTTTTTTCCTTTTTTACGAAAGACCAAACTTTATTAAAAGATAAACTGATTACACACATAAAACTCGACTCACGTACGACCAAGACCATATGAGTTTGGGTTAGAAACAAAACAGAAACATAACATGAACAACAGAAAGTGAAAACAAATCAAAAGATAGTGAATAAGAAAGAGAGATTTGATGGGGCAGATCCCCATAGGACCATGGTAGACGTCATGTGGCTCAAACAGCTCCAAGTGC